CTATTGCACGTGACATGGAACGTGAGCTCGGTGTCCAAATAAGTTACAGCAAGGCACGTAGGGGAAAGGTGGCCGCTTTACATATGCTGCATGGGACACCGGAGGTCAGTTTTCAGAAATTATCTTCATACTGTCACATACTAGGTGAGAATAACCCACATCGAACTTGATTCTCGCGATAGATTCCATTACTTCTTCCTAACTTTTGGTGCAAGCATTCGTGGTTACATGCAGTACTTGAGGCCCGTAGTTTGCGTTGACGGTAGTCACTTGAAAGGTCCATACAAGGGTACACTTTTACTGGCAACTGCCCAAGATGCGAACAAACAGATTTATCCCTTAGCGTGGGGGATTGTGGATTCCGAAACGAACCGATCTTGGATGTGGTTTATGTCTAACTTGAAAGATCTTATAGGAGACTCAGATGTACTTGTATTTGTTTCGGACAGGAAAAGAAGTATCGAAAGAGCTATTACTCACTTATTTCCTTTGTCTCGTCATTGTTGTTGTATGTGGCATGTGGAGAAGAACCTAATTCGGCGGCACTGTAACGCAAGTTCAATATTCCTGTTCAAACGAGCTGCTACGACTTATCGGGTCGAAGAGTTCGAACGACTAATGGGACAGATTCGTAGGGTGAGTGAAAGATGTTACAGGTATTTGGAGAAAGCCGGTTTTTCATTCTGGTCACGAGCACTATTCGTGGGAGACCGATACAACATTATGACAAACAACAACGCGGAATCATTGAACTCGATGCTGAGACATGCTCGTTCGTTGCCAATCACGTGTTTGGTCGAGCACATTCGTAAAATAATGCAGAGGTGGTTTTACGAACGTCGAAGCAATGCAACCGCATGTAGTACTATATTATCGTCGAGGATGGAGAACGAGTTACAAACATTTGAAGCTGGTACTAGGCTTCGAGACCATCAGTTGACAAACAGCTTGACCCAGGTTGGAATATCCAACGATACGGAGATAGTGGACTTCTCCGATAACACGTGCACATGTCGTGAGTTTCAACTAAATCGTATGCCATGTGCTCATGCAACTCATGGGGCTACCCTGAGTGGTAAGTCATTATACGATCTATGCTCTCCGTACTATACATCGAAATACTGGAGGGGTGCCTATATGGAAGTCATATATCCCGTTACACGGGAAGTGGATTGGGTAGTTCCAAATGAAATCCTAGGCACTCATATTTTGCCACCGACCGTACGTCGTCCTCTAGGTAGACCACCGACGCGACGTAAGCGAGCTAGATACGAGTCCACTTCCCAACTGAGGAAATGCACTCGATGTGGGAGACTTGGTCATAACCGGACCACATGTTCGAACCCTATTGTATCACAAGCCACTTGAAGAAGCGTGATCTGTAAAAGTGGTTGTCAAATGTAATCCCCGAAAAACTTAATTTAAATATGCATTGTACATTCCGAACTTATTTTATGAATCTGTTATTATTATCGTATGCCAGTGCAAATTTGGTCGTTATGTTTCGCAAGCAAAGTACCGATCATTACAGTTCCATTATCACGAATGAGATGAATACCTCTTTCGTACTATAAACTTAGCCGATCATAGAAGTTTCATTAGCTTCGACTGACAGTTCGTCGAGATGGAAAACTGATTTTCATGAGACCATACTGAACAAACAAAACAACAACATTACGTCTCGACAGTTCATATGTCGTTCCCGACAGATAGTCTCTGTAATTCTCGACAGTTGGGAACAACAGCGGCTTGAAAACCTACACTACTGCAGTTGCCTATTATGGAGATGCAGTTTCTGCACGTATCCAGCGAACGTGACCGAAATCATCCATACCACAAAATAGTAAACATATTTTCGTACAAAAGGGCCATTTATTGCACAGTTGCACTGCTTTTGACAATGTAAGAAGCTCCCCCACTTTCTCCATCAGACTCGTCTGAGCTAATGACAATTACATCTGGAGGTGGAACATGAGGCACCCACTCATTCGAGTCGGACGGTGACTTGACCGGGCCCCAAACCTCGAAGACTTGATCGAGAACGCTGTTCGGTGACTTAGATTCTGCACTTAACACTACGTCAAACTCGGAACCATGCAGTTCAACTCTTACGTCCTCATCGTCTGACAACAAAACGATGGGAAACTCAGCGGATGAACCCAATATGGGTGGATGCATATTGGAGTTGAATGTTTCATTGCTAGAGGTGGATGAACCCATTATCTCGTATCAACTACCTGTTTCAAAATGGAAGCCTCACAACAGCTTTAATGACATACGAAATGTAATTTGATAGACAATGCTTGTAATGCATTCATTATGATAGTATAAATGTATTGGAAATACTTGTTACTTGCAAAAAATCAGAAACGTATAATATCTACAATAGCATGTTACACTAACACAGTTGTATTGGACAATCCCACCATTTTCAATTATCGAAATGCAAGGAAGTTATAAAATTTAATGGCCCGCCTAGTTGAACTGTCGGGCCCGATAGATGTTTTCTTCCTTCTCAACAGTTGACGAAAACGTGCAATGCAGTAAAGATTGTATAATTTTGAATTTTGGTAAACTGCAGAATAAATGAAGAAGAATAAATGTACGCATACATAATTTTTTGCGCAATACAATGTACGAGCGTTGATGAACATTGAATGAAGGGACTTAGTACCGTAAGTACGATTAACATAACATAATAAAGCTGGATAACTAATACAAGTTCTAACACTACAATAATTTCAGCAACGGTAAACGGTGACAAGGCATTCACCACGGGAATTGCAAAATGTGATGAATGCTTCTAAGTGTCACCAAGCTTGCCAACTACCCTGTCTGATATGTAAATCACAAAAATGAATGAACAAGGCACCAATATAACGCGAAGTAACTAACGTAAATTACATCAAACAAAATACAAAAGCATGGTGAACCCCTTCATCGTGCTATGTTCGGCAATTTATCCACAAGTATTAATGTTTTTGCTTTGCGCTCCCCCTCGTGTACGGAGTCCTGGTAGCAGGTGCCGGATGTCGCAGTCGTGCGGATCTCCGTCTATTTGTCGTAACTGCCCGTCCTGGTCGGGCAACATCGACGGGAACTGGGAAAGTTACAACGTAAGCAACTGAAAATGAAAATTAAATTCAATTGTCCGAAATTAAGGCAATACCTTGCACTTCATCCACTGCAACAAGCGCTAGCACGAGGTCATTATCAGGGCATGGCTCAATGTGTACTGTGTCTGTCGAAAAGAACAATTAAATATTTTCAGTGTATAACTACATGTACGAATTTTCAAATTATGCCAAGTACATAAAATAACAATCTACAAGTTTTCCTCATAAATGACCCACATACCTTGCAAATTTATGGTTCCTGTAGGCACCATGTCCTTCTCTTTCTCACAGTTGCCAGGCGATGGGTGGTGGGCCCCTTCGACTACAACAAATGAACAATTGTAAACTAATCGAATGCCTGAAATAATATTTGTTGAAATCGTGAAAAATAATGCAATACCTTGCACTTCTTCCATTGTAGAGGGCTCTGGCACGGGGCGATCCTCCGGGCACGGCTGAATGTGCGCTATGTCTATTCAGAACAACAACGAAACAGCGAATGGAAAGTGAATTTTAACAATTTTCAAAACTTCCGAAAAACATGAAATGATAATTAATCAATTTGCTCAAAAGTAACCGACGTACCTTCCACACTTTCGGTTCCAGTGGCCAGTGGCATATCCTGCTCGTCCAGGCATGGCTCCATGTGTTCTTCATTAATGCACATACCGTCCCCCTCTTGCCTGTCAATCCCCATGTCTTCGTCGATACCGTCAGGCGACGGGTAGTCTACAATGAATGAACAATTCTCGTACAGAACATGTCAGTGAGCAGGGATAAAGTGAACATTGTCATAAAGAAATGTAATACGCATACGGTGAAGTACCTGATTGTCTGGGCTCGGGGTCGACATCAGTCGCACATGCAGTGGTTGTAGAGCCGAATGCTGGGACGAGGGTGGATATAAAGTCCTTCAACTTTTTAAATTCATCTGACATGTGCTGCATGAGTTCGAGCTTCACAGTGCGGAGCCGCATTTCGAACAGAATTCTTTGATCTAGCAACATCCTCTGAATATCGTCTGCTGTGAGACTTGATGTAGCCGCTGCAGTAGGTCGTACATGAGAGGTGGACGGTGCCATGGGAGAAGTAGCTCTATGCTGGTGGGGGGGAGTCCCCGTCTGTCCACTTCGTCCAACTCGATCACCGTCACTATCCTGGGCCGCAGTGTCGCGTACACGTGTAGCTACAACATGAACATATTCGTTACGAAATAACCACATGCTACAATGACGAATGGAAGGTATGAGATCGTAGAAGTAACATAATTTTTTACCTGCACATTCTTGAAGAAATCGTCGTACGTACGCTGCTGCAGCTGTTTTGTTGATGTCCAGTCGAGAAGCCGTGGGGAACGTTCCCCAAGACGCTCAGCGAAGCGATCACCAATTTCAGGCACCGCCTCGAACGCCCATATCTGTTAGAGTAAAAAAGGAATGTCAGTTCAGAACGAAACCAACCACGAAATACATTTGCATTGAAATAATTTGTAGGTAAAATAAAGACACCTGTATGGCAATGGGAAAGCCGTGGACCGTGTAGCTAACCGCCTTCTCCTTCTTCTTCGTCGCATCCAAAAATTTTCTTGCCCAACGGTCCCGAAAGCCCTTTATCAGACGTCCGTATGAGATTCTACCCCAAGGATACGAAAAGAACAAGTCTAGATCATCGACGATCGACAACGTCTCCATATCGATACCAACGTTGTTATCCAGAGCATTGAAGACTCCTTCGATGATCAAAGCGAGGCCAAGCTTGTACCGATCGGCTCGAGGCGTTGACGATCGAAGAAATGTCTGCTCGAGTTGGGCGCAAGAAATCTTGTCCACATGTTTAAAGTATTTGTCCTTTAGTCTCCTCTTCTCAAGAACTCGGTCCATGACATTGTCATCCGGGAGAAGACCACACCTTAATCCAGTCACAATGGCATATTCTTGAATTCCGAACCTAGCGAGGTGGCCTTGCAAATTAAACCACAGTTCGTGCCACTTCTTTGTTTGTATGCAGCAGAATACGAGTTGTTGGATTAATTGGGCAGAGAACAGAGATCTGGAACCTCGGACAAGAACCCAAGGCATGAGTTGCGAAACTCTTCCCGCTGTCGCTCGTCAAAATGTTCCACGACTGTTTTTATATACCGCAGATTGCTTCTCTGCGATACGTGGCCCCGCAAGCGTGCATTCTCCGGAACAAGAGGCTCGAAATCCATGTCTACAAAGACAAAATAAGAAAAAATTGCGTCAGACCACAATATAAACTTCCTCCTGGCATTGAAACGGAAGATATTCCCACATCAAACATGATTTCCACATCATAAATTGTTGCATGCAAAAAATAAAAGGAATACTTATATCTGAACGTATATCACATAGAAATATCATTTTCTACTAGTAGGCCCTAGGCAGGCAGGAATTGAACTGTCGGTCCCGACATTTTATCCGTCGACGGTTCATCTGTCGAGAATTACAGAGGATAAGTGTTGGGTACGACAGTTGAGAAACAACTATGTATAGATGAACTGTCGGGAAATCCTGTTTTGAATATGTTTCATGGTTATTAACATATTTTGATCATATAAAACAAAAAATAACTGCAACTGCAAAGAAAAGACCAATCTTTGAACCAACGGAATGAGTTGTTTACGGCTAATATGTAGAAATTTAAAACCCTGTGCTTGTCCTATTTACACAGTATAACCCCCCTCAGACTTGTTAAAGTTGCATATGTTTCCTTAAAAACCCATACAATTTGTAATGCATATTTCTAAACCACAAGCTTATTCCACATTAAATCTAACAAGAAAATTATTTTATTGTACAAAATTATTAAGAACAGTTGGTGGTCAATAAAGTAGTTGTTACTAACCCAAAACATACTGTGGAATAAGAGAAGTATCTGTAAAGAGTTCCACCCGAATATAACGAGTACCATCCACAACAAGTGGATTGCAAGTGAAAGCAAGGTTATGACATATGTAACATAAATATTAAAACGAAAGATATATCAAGTGTCAATCAAGATTTTCACCAAATGCATACAATGAGGATTACCCATTTTACTTCAAGTCACCCTTTACAAATTTGCTTATGTAAGATCGAAATTAATGCGAAACACACAGAGCTGAGGTAAGGACTGAATTGTCATTCCAGACATTTTAATAGACATAATCACAACTAAACTATTTAACTTTTTTTCTTTTTGCACATAGAGATGTGACTGTATACATAAATGACTTCAAACATGACCCTATTACATGAATGACTCAGCCATAAGTGTACATGCAAATGCAAAGACGGTTCGTATTCGGGAAAATGGAAGTACCCACACTTCAAGACTTTTGTGCATTGGAAACTTTAGTCACACATATGTAAATTTCCCTTTAAATAATTTTCATTAACTAATTGTGTGCACCATATACCAACATTTTTGCAACTAGTGAACGTGTTAACCCTATTTACCCATAAATAATAATATTGCCACATATACAACTACATTTTCTTAATCTCCAACTCCCACCAACTGCTAATGTATGCCATAAACATGGAGAGGTAGTACTCATACTTTTCCCATCTCAAAAGCAGAGTTTAGAGTTGAAAATAGTTCCTAGACGACGAGAGAGAGGGCATACTAGCATAAATACGTAAAGCGTAGATATACTTTTTCGAAGTGTTTAATAAATCATTAAAAGAAATACATGATTAT